GCCAGCCCACGAGGAGCGTCCGGCTATGCGTGACTCGGGTTTCCTACTGTAGTGGCTGGTTTTTTCCGCTAGCAACCCTATATTGCCCGGTATTCTGCTATGCGAATGGTTTTCTCTGTAGCAACACTGTAGGGACCGATTTTCATGTAGCAAGAGTATACATGCCGGTTTTCTCTGTGGCAACACTGTAGCAAGCATTTTTAAATTTTGTGACCAAATTTCGAAACAGGAAATATGTTTTGAAATCCTGTTTTTTGAAGGAACATTTTTTGAAAAATCCCAAGCATTTTTCACAAACACGAAAATTTAATTCGTGAATAAATTATGAAGTGGAACATTTTTTTGAAAAACACAACATTTCACATGATAGAAATGTTTCCTACGAACATCTTTCCTACGATACAGTTTCATTTTTTTTCCTTAAAAAATAAGAGGATACATACTCCTGATTGATCTATAGGATTTGTTGCAAGTAAAAGTTATATCAAAGTGCTTTGAGTTCATCGTCTCGAGCTTCACCTTTTGAATATTCCATTGCGAACCAAGTTAACAAATCATTTGCGTCGACACTATACCCCGAGGGATGAAACGGGGAGAAACAAGAAGATTTTTTTTTTCAAAATTAGGGAACATCTGACCATGCCACACTTGACCATCACCGTCACCGCCACCACTCTCTATACACACTAAAGGCGAGACAACAAACATCGTAATTCAAAGACCTCGATTCCAGGGACCAAAATACCATAACGCTCTGGTACCGATTATATGGAATACAACTGCCATACTTAGAGCCTGTTCAGCAGGTCTCCACTCCCCACTTTTCAACTCTCAGGTACATCTAGATGCAGAGCGCGCGGAGCGTCACTTTTGCAACTCCGAAAAAATGGCCTACAAGCCGCTCCGCTCTACTTTGGAAGAGCATGGAGCCAACGCATTCGGTGCCACTCCGCAGCTACTCCAGCCGCTCCAGGAGCGGAGCTGCAGAGCGGAGGCCTGCCGAACAGGCACTTAGAACAAGAATACTACCGTGAACTTTTATTCTGTGCAATGAGTCTGTTACCGCCTAGGAAAGAAAAACTGCGGTACTTCAACACTCATCAGGGATTCTCGGTCTTTCGATGGCACAAAACATCCGAATACGAGAAAACCAGCAACGACATGGACGAAGAAACACTAACAAGCGAAACTCCGGCACCTAGCTCTCGATCCTATCCTCCACTCACAGAAAGAACACTTTTATTCAATAATATAATTGTGTTCCACACTATAGATTCCCTAAAATTGACACCTACACATACTTGGTGTTACAACAAGAATTGTAACATCTCATGTGTTGGCTAGACAAAGAAATCATAAATATTGCATCAAATACATCACCTCTCATGAGAGTGTTGAATCCTTCAGGTAGCTGCTGCTGAACTGCTGAACTTTGCACATACATAGTGGTTATTTGTAGGAAAGCAGGTGCCTCATGATGCAGGGAACTTGTGAGCTCACTGTATCACTTCTTAGTCTCGCTGTGTCGCGAGCAGAAGGACTTGAGCCTGTCAAGGCCGTCTTCGAGAGAAGACGGCCCGATTGCGAACGTGATCCGGACCCAATTCTTGTATCCCACAGCACATCCTGGACAAACCGACTTGTTAATGCTAGAATATAACATGCCAACAGAAGGCAATTCTGATCGCCGAAGAGAAAGAAAATAAAATCCTGTATCCGACTTGTTAGGTTCAAACTGTACTGTACTCTGTACCTGGCAAAACAACCACTGACTCCTCTTTTGCCAGCTTGCAGCAGAAGTCCATGTCATCTTTGATGTCCTGAAGGCAGGACAAGTCCAGTTTCACCTGCAGAAATGAAGTAAAAACTCTCATACATCATCAGCAAATCATTCGCTCGCATGATGTCTTGCAACTTGGCCTGAAGCACTAACCATTACAAACATGGAGCCCTCTGGTTTGCTTGGGCAAGTGATGCCACAGATGCCCTTGAGCTTCTCCCAGCATATATCTGCGGTTTGTCTGAGAATGTCCACGGTCTTGTTGAAGAATTCTTGCTTTGTGTTCTCCAGGAGTTCTGGGATTGCTCCCTGGGGAACAAAATTGCGTCAAGACCGAAGGGCGAAGGCCAAAAACGTCAGTTTACTTTTTCATTCATTCACGTGTTCAATTCCTGCTTATTTTTATGGTATGGTGGCTTTTATTATGTCTCCAAAATATGAAATGTTATCTCTGAAGAAACTTGCAAGGGTCAGTTACCTGAACAAACGTTGCAGGATCACAGGAGATGTCAAGGTAACTCTTGATGCTTTCCACAAGCTGCAGTTAATAAAAACAAGAAGAAAATAACATGACCTCACTTTTTAAGGTTCAGGTTTCACGCAACAAAAGAATTGAAGCAACGTGTTAGGTTTGAGTTGTTGCATAGAAAAAAGAAGATAAAAGCTGATTGAACTGTGACTTCTTGTGACTCGTGACTTGTGAGTGAGCCTCCACCATTTTTGGACATGTGCGATGCTTTCATGCTTATTGTAATATACTATATCACTGCTTCCTCCTTTCAGAATATATGGTATATTTTGACTGAACAAGCCAAAAATTTGACCAACAGTTTGTCCTATCGTATGTCTGTCATGTGACACTAATTTGATCCTTTCTTCTTCTTTTTTTAATGGCTGTGATTTTATATCAGACCAACAAAAAACATCCTAATGTAAGAAGTCGAAGAAAAGAACCTTGGTCCTGCGAAATACACCATTAGGATCGTTGGTCACGATCCATCCAAGCCGCCATCCAGGCACCACCCATCTCTTGGAGATGGATCCCAGGGTGAGCACCGGGGCCACGGAGCCAAACACGCCCATCGGGACGAACCGGTTCTTCCCGAACGTCAGGTGCGCGTACACTTCGTCAGCGATGACGAAGATGCCAAGCTTCCTCGCCGTCTTGGCGACCTGCAACAGTTGGTCAAGCTGAAGATCGTCGGTCGAGGCAGGAAGGATGGGGATTGGAGATCATGGCTTGCCTTGGCGAGATGGTCGTAGCTGTAGACGTTGCCGCAGGGGTTGCCGGGGTTGACGAGGACCATGCAGACGGTGTTCCCGTCGGCGAGGGCCTCCACGGCGTCGAGGTCCGCCTCCCAGTCGCTGTCCGGGAGGAGGTCGAAGTAGCGGACCTCCATGCCGTTGAACGCGGCGCGCGCCTCGTAGAACAGGTACCCGGGCCGCGGGAGCAGGATGTTGCTGGCGCCGGGACGGCCGGCGAGCACGGAGCAGACGATCTCGATCGCCTGGGAGCAGCCGCTCGTGAGGTAGACGTCGTCCGGGGAGAGCTCGTAGGGCAGGTCGAGGGACAGGTGACGCGCGATGGAGCGCCGCGCCGGCTCCAGCCCGACGCCGGTGGGGTAGGAGTTGTGCTCCCCCGAGTGGAGCGCGGCGGAGACGGCTTCCACGGCCTCCGGCGCAGTGCGGAAGCACGGGAATGCCGAAGGGTCGCCGTGCCCGAGCGGGATCACCGGGCGGTCGCTGCCCGGGTCCATCCCGGCCTTGATGCTGCCCAGCACGGAGCGCACCGACAGCGCCGACAGGCCGAGGAGGGCTTCGTCCGGCGCGAAGTTCCACGCATCGGGCGCCGGCGTCAGTTGGCTCATGGTGCCGTTGGACATTGTGGAATGTTGGTTCTGTGGTACGGGACTGGCAAATGCCAATGCTGCTGAGAGCAATAAGAGAGCTGTATTTTTTTTCGGGGGATAAGAGAGGTGTATTAGGGCATGTACAATGGTGGCATGTAGATACATATGCCCCATGACAAAAAGTAATTTGAGGCACCTACATTTATTTTTTCTTCCCAATGCAAGCTACCATTAGTGTGACTCATTAAAAAATAAAAAATAAAGACTCTAGTACACATGCATCTCTACTTTCCACTCCACCTATTCAGCTTTTGTCACCGGACCACATTTTTTCTCTTCAAGCACCCGCCTCCTGAAGAGGATGCCGCTTCCCTATCCGAACCTACTTTACGTCATATCCGACCCTACATGGTATGTGAGGCATCACCTTGCGGCTATGCATTGGACATGCCCTTAGGCACGATGATGATTTAAAGGCACGAAGCCTGGAAATGTCTGACAACTCACAAGCATGAGAACCGCTCTGGATGGGCGTCAAAGGCTGTGATAAAGGGGTCTGGGTAAGAGTAACTCCAACGCCCCGAGAACGTGCGGTTTCTTTGCCTCTTTTGTTGGTTTGGGTCGGTTAAGAGCTCTGTCGGCCAACCGCCCGACGTAATTTTTGTCAGCATGTAAAGAAGAAAATTAAAAAAATATATGTGCTATTCAGTTTGTAATTCACATCTAGATGTCTTTTAAAAATGTCATATTTAAACTCCCACAAATATATAATGCAGCAATAAGAAAAAAAAAACTAGAAAAAAAAAGACCAGAAACATAATGGACATCAGTTTAGATGTGACATAACATCTAGATGTGTCCTAGACAAATCTTTTTACTATTTCACGATGTGAAATAGTTACATCACATCTAACTTTCTAATCACATAATATAAACATCAGACTCGTATTCTTTGGTCAATTTTTTTATCGTTTAGTGTTGTTGCTATACGTGTCGCTCGCACGAGGAGGCCATGTCGTGGCGTGTAGGTTGTTCTTTCTTTTTTCGCAGCCTCGTGGGCTACCTCAGCGTGGGCTGCAGCCAAGGGTGATCTTTTTCTTTTTTTTCCTTTTCCCTTTTTTCTTTTTCATTTATCTTCTTTTCCGTTTATTTTATTTCAAATGTGTAAACTTTTAAATTCTGGAATTTTTTTATTTTTATTTTTCGTTTCTCTTTTCAATTGTTACCTCACACCTCAATTATAGGTCATTTGATTTGTTTGTGCTCTAAATCTCGTGCAACTCTGATTCATCTAGTTCTGTTGTGCGCTCCGTGGTGGTTATTGGGTTGGCTTGCTTTATATTTGGCTGCTGAGAGCAATAAGACGGGGTTTTTGATTTTTAGCCATCATTTACTGTGCATTTTGATAATTTGCCACTCCTTACATTGTAATTGATCATTTGCCACTCTTTACTTTGCACTTTGATTTTTAACCACTTTTTCACTCAAAAACAATACTTACAAATGATTGACATAATATATGCATAAAACAGTGGATCAAAATACCCTATCTGCTAGTTTGACCTCTCAACCGATTCACCATTGTATCTGGTACCCGTTCACCGCCGGCGCCGGCGCCGCCATCCTCTACTGAACGGCTGCGCCTTCGGAGTAGCAGATTTCGGCTGAGATGCACCGCCGGGAGGCCCCGGGGCGCCGCTCTAGGCCGCCGCCCGGTGGCTCGCCTGCAGGTCGCTCCCGGCAGGGTCATGCTGCGGGGATCGAACCTGGGACCTCGGATCCGCCTCAGGTGTGTTGCTAACCACAACACCCGTGTAGGGCGTGTCTCAGGGAGGGATCTGGGTGCCGCTCCGGTCTTCTGCAGGGATCACGGGGAGCCTCCCTTTGGTCGGAGGCGCGCACGAAGGATAGGTAGGGTGGGCTCTAGCACCGGGCCTCCTGCAGCTCGGAGGCGTGCACGACATGGCGATTGGGTGTTGGTTATCTTGACAAGTTAGAGGGATCGAAGGTTGGTGGCGCTGTCAGTGACAGGAAGCTGGGGGCTTGGGCACGGGGTCGGGCGAGGCAGATGGGGAACAAGCTCCTCTCCCGTGTCTAGTACTTATCAATTGGGAGGCAACAGGGCGGGGAGGGAGGGATTTGGAGAGGATGGCTAGGAGGTGAGCCGTGCCGTCGGCGGGGATGGAGCAGAGCGCCCCGTGCTGTAGTCACCGTCGTCGTCTCCTATCTCTCTGGAATTAGTGTCGTGAGTGTTCGAATGGGATGGGGGTAGCTGGGCAGGGAAGTGAGCCTAACTTAACTGGTTGGGGGAGTGGATGTACAAGCCCAACACTTGGGTTCAAATCCTCATAGATTCCTATTTATTCTTGAGGACCAGTCTCTATTGGTACTCACGCATTTATCATTGAGGACTAGGCTCAATGCACAACCGACATTAAAAAAAATCCTAGTACTCATACTTAAAAGCTGTATGCATTTCTAGTTGGTGCAGAGACTGGGGAAGTAAAATTCTCCCCTAATTTTTAAGACTCTAGTAGCTAGATAGCCCACAGAGCAATCGGGGGGCCAACCCCAGCGCCCCGGCCGCCGCCCCCTCCCTCTCTCCTCTACCTCGTCATCCCCAGAGACGTGCGCCGGCTAAGCCCAGGCGCCGGTGATGGGGACGGCGGGGATCTAGGCTGCAGCCCGCGGTCTAGGGGGACCGGTGGCGCGAGACCGCCCTTCGGTCTTTGCCTTTTCTGGAGGTTCGACGCTGCTCCGGCGGCTTCATGGGGAGGGCGAATCAGGAGGGGACGTGGCCATGGTTGACTAGTCGGCGACGCCTTCGATCAGACCTAATCTGGCCAGTACCGTTGACGGTGGTGGCTACCTCCTCCGTCGGAGGTGGTTGGTACGAGGCTGGATGGTCAGATCTCGAGATCCGCCATCTAGTTTCGACTGCGAGTCGAGAAGACATAGTTGCTGGTGAAAACCGAGCCAATGGTAGGTGATGGTGGCGTTCTGCGTCATTACCTTTATGAAGGCATCGTTGTGTAATTACGGTTGACCCACTCGTGTTGCTCCGGGGGAAACCTAGGATTTGGTCTTCCAGATCGGACAATGGCGGTCCTGTGGTGTTGTTTTCTCTCTTGGGAGCATCGTTTGTAGAGCAGAACTGGAAGATAGAGGCATGAGGTGGAGCGGCTTCGTCTTGCACGGAGCTTTGGGTGAAGATGTCAAGTCATGCTTGGGCGACAGGTGCTACGCTGTGTCATGCCTAGTTAGCAGGTGCTACGCACGACTGATCTTCCAGAATCTTCGTGTTTGGACAGACGAGCGCGGGGGAAGTGGCGCCGTTGGGCGCCATGCTGGCGTGGACGGATGGACGGACTGGCAAGGATGATGCAGATCTCTCTCCTAAAGATGGACCAGCGATTCGATGATGATGGCGGCGTCTAAAACGCATGCATGTGGTGTACGCTTTAGGTCTGCTGCACCAGCAGTGGTTCCGATACATTGTGTGGATGGATCGGCGACGACACCAGTTTTAGATATGGGGAGTGAGAGCACTCCACATTATTGAGTTTTGTAGGTGTGAGTGGTGGCTTTGGGTGACTTGATGTATGTTCTTGTTAGACCTAATTTGAATAATAAATAAAGATGGTCGTATGCATCGATTGATGCAGAGGCCGGGGGTCTTAACCTCCTTTTCAAAAAAAACTTGGCAGGGGCAATCTCGGGTTTATTCGTGGGTAGGGGCAAATCTTCCAAGTCCCAGCTAAGAGCATCTCTAGCAGACCCCTTAAATCACGAAACTGGAAACGCGGTTTTTTCAGTTCACGGAAAACGCATTTGAAGGATTGGTTTGAGGTGCGGTCGAGCAGACCCCTTAAACTTAGACTGTAAAACCAAATATTTGGGTATATTCTTCTCCACGTCTTCTTCTTCCTCTCGCTCGTGTTCATGGCCAGCTAGCTTGCTCCTATGAAGCTCACGGACAGCGCACAAAGCGGCCAAATACGGTGTCGCTGACGTCCAGAACAGCTCACACGAAGCGCCCCAATGTCACCATCGCCATCGCTGCTTGAATAGGTCCAGAAGCTAGCTAGCACTGGCATCGAATCGATCGAGGAGCTAGCTAGCTAGCTAGCCAATCGATCGACCCAAGAGCTAGCTAGCTAGCACCCGTCACCGTGGCCAATCGATCCAGAAGCTAGCTAGCTAGCTAGATCCCCTCATGTAGCTGTCAAATACGAAGCCGCCCGGTGTCACGGAGTTGCCGCATCCCGTTCCTCTTCCTTGCATCGAGCACGAAATGGGAGCAGCCATGACCGCAGGCATGCGTTTGATTCTTTTGCAGTGCAGAATTTTGTTGAAGCAAGGAGAAATCGACAACTGGAGACGCGTGGTAAAGACGGCGGTGCGCGGGGAGAGACGGCAGAAGGACCCGGTTCGTGGCCCGTATATTATCCTCGGATCTGTAGAATTAGGGGTCGGAGGCTCACGTTTTTTATGGCATGTAAAATATTTACGGTTTCGTGAACTTTTACGGGGTCTGTTCTGCACATAAAATTGGTCTGAAACTGTAAACTCGTCGGAATTTTACAGGTTTGGCATTTTTACGGGGTCTGCTAAAGATGCTAAGGAGTGGCAAAAAAATCAGTTACGAAATAAGGAGTGGCAAATCTTCAAACTCCAAAGTAAATTGTGGCAAGGAATCAAATTGCCCGTCGTTTTTCCCCACCTCTCATCTCCCTCAAAACCTAGATTGAGGGCTGCGCCGCCGAGAGGCGCCGGCGCTGGTGTCCGCCAGGAGGTGAACGAATGGCGTTCGCGACAGCAACGTGGTGAGGCACCGACGATGTTGACCACGATAGGGGTTAGGCACGACGACAACGGCGACTCCCTCCTCCTCTTCCAAGCGTCCTCCTTTGCTCCATCAAGGTATCTTCCTCCTCTTCTGCCCTTCATCCTCTTCTCCTCCTCCTCGTCCCTTCCTCGGTCAGCCGACGGCGGGGTGCTCCTCCTTGCAGTAAAGTAAAATCTCCGGTGTCCCCCAACCGAACTACCACTGGAAGTCATGCCATGGCGATGCATAATCATGTCTACATATGTCAGGGTAGTTACAAATTCCTGCCTGAAGGGATGCTAGTTACAAATTCCTAAAACTCTCGATGGTTATGCATTGGCATCGC